ATGTTCAAATTTGCGTTAAAGTCATTTTTTCCACTGTCCAAAATTCTTTCATGAACTTTGAGATTTATTTGCGGCCAAACCAGTTGGAAATCGCATAAAAGACTATTTCGTGACGTCCAAGGCACAAGTTTGATGAACAAAATGAGCTTTGAACGGAATTTCTGCGACCAAAATTGACGTAGCTATGGCCCGGTGACTGCAGCGCGGGCGGGCTGCGCTGCCGCCCCGGGCCCACGAGGTAGCCTAGGCGGTACACCGATACTTTCCGAAAAAAGCCGCTATAGGGACACAAAGAGTGTGATTTTTGGTTTCGGAGTCCAGTAGACCCTAATCTTTGATTTGAGACGCAGAACACTCGTTTTGGAGACATAGGAGCCGAAATTTTAACGCAAATGTTCAAAAAAGACGAAAAATTGAAAATTGTCGCAGAGAGGCTATATAAGACACTTTTCCAGACGATTTCGACCTGTAAAGGCGAATGGAGTACACCCCAAGTCCGTTACGACCCCTCGTTTTGGCCCAAAAAGCCGATTTTTTTGATTTTTTTTTAAAGGCTTAATTCTTACGGGAGACGTTTTCTCCGGTGTACCCCGTGTTGGGTGTCGTTTTCGCAAATAAGGTATCTCAGAGGCTTAATATGAGGTCCTCGAAGCACTTTTGTCTACCAAGGACATTTTAGACCATGATACGCCCTGGTCCAAAATTGTTCAAAATGTTCAAATTTGTTAAAACGGCCTACAGAGTCCATCTTTAGTAATTTTTCCGAGTAATTTTGGTATGAGAAAGGCGATGAACCATACTGCAAGTGCGTACATCATCCCAGTCAGGCTCTAGAAGACGCCATCTTGGAAAATAGGGGCCTAACTAACTTTCGTAGCACCGTCACTGGCACCACGACCTCCGACCAGGCGGGAGGAGTAGTGCACAGTGGGTGGATACACCTCGCACTAGAAACTTATGAACATTTTTAATTATAGCTTACCTTACTGAGTTCTGTAAACATGCTTCGTTTACGTATTTTTAAATACGCCAGTATAAACAAATTTCTTCATAGCAGCGTATTCAACAATGCCCAAGCCGAGCTTGTACACAGACCTAGTAAGTTACGAATGGGTATTTTTTTTTTAATCAGCAAATCCGATGTTGGGAACGTATTTAGTACTTTCTCACTTTCCGTCTGCGACTTTTATCTACACTCTAGGGTAGTTAATCGTTTAAAAAGTTGACTTTTAATGGTGTAGGACGTTAAGAGGAGATGAAACGCGGAGGGAAGTCACATCGACAAGAGGATGCGTAGGGGTGGTTCTCTAGGAGCTTTTACAACAATTCTGGCTGTTTTTACCTTGTCGAACTTTTCACCCCTATAACCCGAAATCTTCCGAAAACTTTCAATTTGTTTCAACCTTGAGCGCGCCAGAGGATGCTGGCGGCAACGTGGGTAGGTGGCAAACTTCACCTTACAGGATCGTTAAGAACACACTTCAGAGCTCTCTGCCCCAAACTTCACCTTTCTAGCTCAGCTAGCTACAGTACATACATCCACTGTACTCTCGCACACCTTTACTACCTTAAGGTTTTTACGCAGCAGGAATACTGGCTAATTTGTTACGTATTCTGTGTGTTGTTTTGAGGAACTCACTGAGAAAAGAAAAAGATTGTCAGTAATGTAAAGATAAATTATTTTGTATTACTGATGAAATCAGTTGTCAGTAGATGTAAAGGTTTTTACGCAGCAAGAATACTATGAAGGGGGTAAATCAGTTACAGGATGAGAGTGTGGTCATCTGACATATGTCAGATCACCAGA